TTTCATAAGCCAGTCTAATGTGACAACCCACCTCTGCTATTATGAAGACAGTTCATGATCTGTACAGTCCTATTAGACAAGGAAATAATAGTGTGTTAAGAAGTCATGAATTTCTTAGGGTACTTCAATCCAGGGCTAGGGAAAGGGGTGGCTGTGTTTATAAGGGGCGCTAATGTATGTAGGGATGCTGAAACATCACTGGAAATACAGTGAGATGTACATAATTGTATTTCATATGGTTCCTCTGGGGACAATACCATGCGGGGTTGGAAAAAATACTTTGATAAACTGATTGCAATGGGGGATGAAGCCCTCAAAGAGCATGCTTGAGTCAGGACACTTCTTTGCTCCCCTGTCTTCTATAGTGCCTGGGTGAAGTTAAAGTCATGATGCTAGTTTTGCTGACTCAAATACACTTGACTAAAGCCAAGTTGCCCACAACAGTTCATGGTGGGGGGCAAATACTGCTACCCCCAGTCTTTTCTTTTTCATTTTTTCCTGCTCAGTTCTTGGTCTCTCTTCTCAATGAATGCAGGACAGTAGTCTCAACCTTTGTAAAATGCTGGTATAAAGTTTGCTAAATTATCAGTATGATATTTGAGGAGCCCTTTTCTCCATTTATTACATATTTATCAACTACTTTCTTTTTGCCATCCGCTCTGATAGGCATTGTAGGAAAAGGATTTGGCACAAGGTTCTAATCTTTTTCTTTTTTAAATTGATGCTTAAACTATAAAATAAAGACCAGATGCTTCAGAGGATATAGGCTTTTTTTTTTAAATCAGAGTTGATTTTCTCTTCTATTTTATCTTATTCTGATAGCTGCTTTTGAGATTTCTCCATTCATCTCGCCTCTCAGGTGATCATAACTGACCTCCTCAGAGACTGGCTGGCCATTGTCACTGGTGGGGTATTATAGCTAAAAGTGACTTAGCAATCACTTGCTTAAAACATGACAGTTTTACAGGCAGGAAAACTAGCATTCTGAAATCAACCCAAAGTTATATCACTAGTCAGTGGTGAGGATGTATAGAACCCAGTTGTCTCCAGGCGCTGCTCTTTACAACACAGCACAACACCACAATTCAGCTACAACACAACTCCCTTTATAAGCAGGATTGATCTGTGTATCTTTGTGTCTATTATTTATTTATCCATCAGTCCATCCATCCACCCATCTGTCCATCCATCTATCCATCCACCTACCCAACATTTATTCCTCCATCTCTATCCTATTTCTTTTTCCTCAGACTTCATAAGATAGTACATAAAAATTAACTTTAAAGGTATGTATTTAAAACGTATTTTGGTTTCTATAACTAACATGATA